GAGGGGGTGAGGCATGGCGAGCGCCGTGTGCCCCCTTTTCTGCAAGAGACCCCAGCCAGAGCCCGCGCGACGCTTGAGCCCGTTTTGTGAGGAGAGCCACCGACCTCGCCTCCTCCCAAGCTCACCTCCCCGCGCACCGCCGCCCTCTGCCCCGCTGCCCCACCCCCGACAGCACCCTCGCGCCCGCTGCGCCCCCACCCGACCCTCTGCCCTCACCATCCTCTCGGGGTGGTACCCAAACCGCACACTGTCCAGCTCAACCTCCAGGCCAACAGTCCGCCCCCACGCCACACCACCGCCCGCGCCGTCAGCCGCCTGCCCGCTGCCACTCGCGAGCCCGTGGCTCGCGCGCCGCTCCTCAAGCGCCGCTGCGCCGGCGGTGAGGGGCGCGAGCCCCCTCGCTGGCGGTGCGTCTGGCAGCGGCCTGTCCCCGTCTGGCAGGTCGCTGCGTGTCTGCAGGATCTCGAAAAACTCCTCCAGGTCAACCAGGGACTGCCGCAGCTCCCTGGTGGTGTACGGGTCGGGGCATTGACGTTGACGGAGGGCAGGGGGAAGGGGCGGGTGATGTTGGTGGTGATGGTCTTGGCTGAGTGAGCGGGGTTTGCGTGCTGGCTGTGAAGGGATTGCCTGTGCCCTGGGAGGCGACACCTTTGTCATGCCGCCCGGCTGCCATGATCCAGCCTTGCTGACAAAGGCGACAACACGATGCGAGCATGGCCACCTCAGGCATAGTCGCGGCTTCTGTGTCGCGCGCATCACCTGTAGAACCACCCCAGGAACTGCAGGGGGCTCCACAGCTGCAGCAGCAGGCCCTGCAGCAGCACCAGGTCGCCGGGGCTGAAGCCCGTGGCCGCGCCCGCCGCTCCGCCTGCTGCCAAGGCTGCGCCCGCGCTGGGCCCGCCGACCACCGCGCTGATCAGCACTAGGGTCAGGCCTGGACGGTGGTGAGGTGAGCGAGAGGGGGGCATGGGTTGAAGCGGCAGGCACTCTGCAGCTGAGGCGGGCGAGCAACGCGCGCTGGGTGCCGCGCCAAGCGCTCAATGTTGCGGCAGTCACCCATGATGACAGCGCAGCTGCCGCCTCCTTGGCCCGACCTTGCTTTCCCAGGGCGTGGGCCCCAGCCAGCCCAGCACTGAAGCGCACGTCTGCAGGAGCGCCGCAGCTGCGCACCCCCGCTGCCCTCTCCACCCCCCCGGCTCCAAGAGCGGCGGCGGCTGCTCACCCACAGACAGCACAAATGCCTGCCCCGCATTGAGTGTTGCTGCCAGCCTCTCCGTCTGTATGGCTGCGGCCTGGAAGCCCCTCAGGTAGTGGTCGTACTGGGACACCTCCAGGTCCCTGCGGTTGCCAGGGGGGGGCCGAGGAGGGGGGCAGAAGAGGTGGTTGGTTGGTGGTTGAAAATGAGAGCATCAGTTGGTTGAAGAGGGCGGGATGGTTGAGGGTGTGAGAGGGTGACAGACGGACTTCTGTTTGTGGGGGTCGATGAAGCACAGGTGGAGCTGAATGCATGCCCCAGCAACACACGGGGACACCTGCCAGGTAGACCCACGCAGAACCAGCATTGCAGAGCCTTGCCCCCTTCTGCGCCGTCGAGTCAGGCGCCGCAGCGCAGCGCGCGCACCTGTTGTTGAAGAGCGCAACCGTCTCTGCGTTGAGCAGTGCGTCCACTGCCTTGGTGGTCGTGAGGTTGTCCAGCGTGTTGACGCGCTTGCGCACCTCAACAGCCATCTAGGGGTGGGTGTGGGTTCGTGTGTGGCATGTGTGTGTGTGCGCACAGGTGTGTGTTTGCACGCGCTTGTTGTGGCCGGCTGGTATCCTGCTCAAACAAATAGAAACAATACTGCCCCAGCCACAGGACCCTGCTGGTGAGTGCTCAAGGAGAGTGCTGCCAGGAGTGGTGGCGCACTGCCGCTCGCACGATGCAAACGTCGAGCACTCCCAGCCCGGCACATATCCTCCGCTGCTATCACCTGCGTGAGTGCGAGAGTCCAGGATACATACACCACAAAGGTGGCCGCCACCAGCGCGGCCGTGACGGGGCTGAATCGCGTGGCCAGCAGTGTTATGACAAACACCAGCTCCAGGGCCGTGGGCGCGAACGTGAACAGCACGGCGCGGTACAGCATCTGCACACTGCGCGTGCCTGCAGACGGCAGGGGTGCAACGGTGCGGCTGTCAGACACAGACGCTGTCCTGTGCTGTGCTGTGCTGTGCTGTGTGTGTGTGTGTGTGTGTGTGTGTGTGTGTGTGTGTGCGCGCGCTGGAGCGTAGCGCAGAGGCCGAGCAGGAGCTTGGGCAAAGAGGGTGGGTCCCCTGACGCTGTTGCAGGGCGGGGAGGTGCTTCGGGGCGGCCTGGACTGTCAGCATGTTGATTGAAGCCTGCCCTGATGCCTGTTGGTGTCGGGCCCCCTCCGCACACCTTTGCCTTGCCCCGCTGCCCTCCCCATCAAACCCTCCTCCTTCCAATAACGACCCCACCCTCTTGGCGCCCGCGCCTCCCCCCAACAGCCCCCCCAAAGGGCAGCCCACCCCTCTCCAGAATGCGTGACAGGCGGCCCGTCTTCCTGTCCAGGTGGAAGCTGATGTCCAGGTCCAGGAC